TCACCTAATAAACAACAGTTTAAAAAAAATAAGTATTATCTTTTTGCTATTGCTCAGGACTTGGGCCTATGAAAAGTAACACAATAGCTGTTTTGTTTCTGAAGGTGTCACAAGCAGTACCTCCTCAGATATATCTCCCCTCCGACCTGCCATGGCCTTAACGTAAGATTCTCAAAACTGGGATTCCTTCTGGCTTGAGGCAAGAAGCTTAGCTAGGGCTTGAAAAAGAGTTGTCACAGATTCAGAAGACCACTGATAAACATAAATGTTCAGGGAAGAAAATGAATGGGTTTTAAAAAAATGTAAAATTATGAAATTTTGGATATGAAAAAATAAATGCTTTACTTTTTCCTTCAGCTCTGCTTCATTTGTTCTCAAATTAGCTGCTTGCCTCTTGTTCATCTCATGAGACAACAAGAGCCTAGGCAATTGGATGGGGTTGGGCTAAAGGAAGGACCAGGAGTTGTATAGGACAAGGCATGCTGTGGAGGGAGGTCTGCTGATACTTAGCTTGGCGCTAAAACTGGTGGTGACATTACAAGTGAAGAGTGACAAAACAGTGAAAGGAGAACAAGAACAAAGAGGTGCTTCGAAAATTTTGCTACCCAACTTCTCATGCATGGCCATTGGCCTGGATAACAATGAAGATGCTGTGACCACTCTTCAGGGCTGGCTCCAGAAGGAAGAGGAGTGGCCAAGTAGCTAGTCTTTGCTAATGGATTACTTAGAGCAACACATTCTCACCACTGAATAACTTGTTTTTCTTGTAATTTCACCACGAAAAAGTTCACTTCCTCTTGAGACCCCTACTAAAATCACATTTTCCTAGGAGTCAAGTATTTACCTTGAAATGTTACTTTGGTTTCATTTTATATAAAAGTTAGAATAAACAGTGCTGAATAAAAATTGATTTTTAAATTAATATTCTTAGTGTCTGATTCTGTAATTTCTCAGAATTATTTGAATAAAATTTGAAAAGCTGAAAATACACATTTTAAAATTTATCAGTGAACATAAAATAGTCCTAAATGTCTTCCACAAAATGGCGCAGAAAAAAATTAATAATGTAAATGTCACTTACCAGTCTGATAATAAATTGAAAATCATGAGTTCATCATTTCATCTCAATGTAGACTAAATCTCTCAACTCAGATAAAAGCTCCAAAATTTAATGCTGTATTTATCTGGTTTTCATAACTTTTATGAAATATTTCTGTACCAGTGTTAACCTTCTTTATTATAGTACCTGCTCTTAAAAACAACATTAAAAACCTTTTATATCATGATTATCCTTGGTTATATAAACCTATTGGAAAAAATGTTTTGATCATTAGGTACTGCACCAGAGGGCTTAATTCAATCCTTAACTGCAGAGATTTGACATTAACTATGAGTGAATACACAACTCATCTAATCAAAAACAACAAGATTTTTCATACAATAGAGAGGGCAGTGTAAATGTGATTATAGAATTCTCAATATAGCTTTTACTTAAAAACTACATAATGCACATCCTTTACAGCAGTAAGTGTGTAATCACATTGGATTTGATAAGAAATTTCTTCATGAAGACACAGTACAATCAGGCATAAAGAATTTCAAGATATAAGATAATTGTTAAACACCTGACATAATGTTACACACATGAAATACAATAATTATAGAAATACATTTCATGAAAAACATAAAAGACATTTAACTCCAAAGATTATAAAGAAAACTTAAGAGAATAAAAATACGTGGCAAGTGGAGGGGATTGGTGCACCCTCGTTAGTAGCAGTAGTTGTGTAGAAAACAATTCCCTTTGAACTTTGGGAAATAATAGTGTTTTCATGCCTTTGTACTTTAGTTTTTGTGGTACGTAAGGTAATAGAGTAGACTTTTACAATATTTTCTCTATATATTGTCTCTAAAAAATCTATTTTTTGCTTCATGCAGTTTGAAAACTAATTGAATAAAACTTAGTGGAATTTACTTTTTTAGACTTGTAACTTTTAGAAAGTAGAAAAGGCATTTGTTGTGAAACTGACACTGAAAAGCTTTCTAAATTGTAATGACTAGCGAAATTTTTTTTGAAATGCAGTTGATGGCTATTGCAATTTACATCAAGTGCATTCTATTATTACACTAGTATTAAAATAATAGCCCTCCTCACAAATTGGGTCCATAAACAGTTTTGGGGTTTTTTGCCATTCTGATATTTCAGGTTTAAGCGTAGCCAGACTAAATGTTAGAAACATATTTACCTTAATCTTCATTAAAACAATGTGTCTTGGGAGTGAAATTCAATATCATTTTGTCTGCTACTTGCAATTAACTCATCAATAATTTATAACAGATGTTTAATATCCTATAAATTCTCCAAGCTTTGGAAATTCAGAAGTAAATTTCCTCACAAACTGGGAGTAATCTTTAGCCAACAATAAATAAATTCAAGTATGAAAGTTTTTGTGGTCTTATAGAAATTCAGAAATAACAAAGTTAAAATGGATTCAATGTTAGATAAATTTATATCATCCCTATTGATAAAAGCTCAACGACATTGACAACTTACATTAAATCTTTGAAATATAGCAAAAAAAAAAAGAGAGATACATATTTAAGGTATAGCATAAAACAGTCCCAACACATTCCTTTCAAAAGATGTCTTTGCATTTGTGTCACTAGCAAATAATGAGGTAAACAGTTGACTCTTTGTTTCATAAGATTGGCAGGGTTTGGGAACACCTGTTTCTTTACCATTTGTCCTATTAAGGTAACCATACTAAATCCAGACCTCTTAGAAAGATTCCTGGATTCACATGTTGAGTGCTATGTACATGGTCTATTACATTCCCAGAGTTTAAGTACTGGTTTTATTTTATTTTATATCTCTTTCCATGAAATTATCATTCTTAGAAACTATCTGCCTCTGCAAAACAAACTTTAGTAAGTATAAATAAGATAGGGATTTTAAAGTTTTACTTAAAAACTCAAGTCATCCAGGTGGACGTAAAGCACACAGGTGCCTTAAAACCAGTCTTTCACACTGCACTTATCAATAGCGATTGTTTCGTAAACTGTAATTTTTTAATAAGATGACATGAGTGAGAGTCAACATTGATACTCAGCTTCTTCTTTCAGACATCCAGCCACACTGACCGTAGTGATGATGGTGCCCCCTGTTGTAGACACCTGTGCAATAAAAGACTATTTCACACAGGCTGATAAACTTATGTCAGATGGTATCACTTAAAGCAGTGGGATCTCAAATCTTAAAGTGCTTCAGAATCACCTGTAGGGCTTAACACACAGCTTCCAGGCTATCACTCCTAAAGTTTCTGGTTAAGTAGGTGTGGGATAGGGTGGAAATTAGCATGTCCAGTAAGTTCCCAGATGATGCTGATGCTGACGGTATAGAAACTACATTTTGAGAATCACTGATTTAGAGCAAAGGAATTCTGACTTCCCATCCGTCACATAACTGCTGCTCTCTGAGTCAGTTTTTTCCTTTCTCTCCCCCTTTCCCTCCCAATCTCTATCCCTTTTCTCTCTTTTAAATTATAAATAGGTATATTTGGGTCTAAGGAATTTACTCTTCCTCTGAGCTATTACTTGACTATTAAGGCATATTATCAACATTATTTGAAGTTATCCTCAAACTTTTTAAAGTGCTATCATCACAATCCAAAAATTACAACTCTCCTTTCATGCAGCATAAATAAGAAAAGAAGTTCCGAAATATACAAAGGGGAGAAAGGAGAGAGTTAAAATACTTTGCTTTCACTGATATAGTGCTTATATTTTACAACATGATCTCAATAAACCTTGTATAAGAAGATAGTTTTTGCTTTGAGTCATAAAAGGCACAAGGTAACAGAATCCCAAATTCCAAGATTTGAAAACAAATTGTGGATAATTAGGCTGTATTACTTTTCTCTGAGAGTAATGGAAAATGAAAATAAAACCAAAAATTAATTTTCCATGAAAGTTTTTCTTAAACACTGTGCCCCATACCTTTTGTTTCAATACAATCAGAACACCTGTTACGATAATATGAGATGAAAATCATCTTTCATAAACACTTACTTTTAATTTTCAAGTAAATATTTGAATCAGAAGAATTTTTCAGGGGAATAAGTTTGAACATTCAGTGCTTTGACCCCTAAACCTTACATTTTCTACAAAATACACGATCGTCTATTCATTTATGTGTGAGTTAAGAGCAAGCCCCTCTGTTTTTTTAACCACCTGGTACTCAGCCTCAGGCCCAGATGGAATCCACTGACATCAACTGTCATTGTAAGTAAATTGAAAAAAAAAAATGCCACTGTGCTACAAACTTTCTGGTGAAGACCACTGTCCTTGGTAGCTTCACTGCTCTGCCATGACCAAGAATTGTCCCCCAGATTGTTTGCTGCCTTGCACTCTGTCAACATGTCTCCCAAACTAGACTGAAGCTCTTTTGTAGGCATGTTTGCATTGACCCCACCTCATTCCCTAGCACCTAGCACAGTGGTGCATTTTTTATTTAATCCAGCAAGGCTGACTGTGTCATTTTTTTTGTTTTTGTTGTTAAAATAACATAATGATGTGATTTAGCTTATTCTTAAATGTTAAAGTCTTTCATTAGAGATGGAAATTATGTTAAAACTTTTACTGTAATAGAGTCTTACTGGCCATATATTGAGACAAGAAATGTTAGTAATGGTCAATTTGCAAACCTGAGAAAATTGTGTAAATGAGTGAGTATATAGTTTTGTAAGACAGTTTTGAATTACCTAACACAATATGCTATTTTATATATAAATATTTTCTCAGATATCACATTATAACAACAGTCTTGTGATTTTTTTCAGAAAAAAAAAACAATAAAGCAAACAAAAAGGCCAATGGTAAATCAAAAATAAGAAATGGCAACTCCTTTAAGAACAAAAAAAAAAATCATTGGATAGATTCTCGTAATTTTTAGGAACCATTTGAATGTGAGAGATTAAAATAACAAGGGATTATAAAAAGAATTAGAAATGTTTAAACATTTAATTAACACACATTATAATACACGAAACTAAAAGTGAAATAGCCTGAAATAAGTTCAGTTGAAAGTTAAACTTCTAACATATTTAAATCAAAAGTTGAGAAATCATTTTAAACTGACTTTTTTTTTATTTCCAAAGAGCAATAGATTTAAAAAAAAAAAAAAAAAAAAAAAGATCCACAAGTAATTTTAGTTTCACATCAATAGGATAATAAAATTTTTGTTCCCAGTGATTTTAAAAAGGATAGTTTTACTCAGGTATCCTTGTCATATGAACCAATATTCTACCAGTTTTGAAGTGGTCCTGCTCCATTGGCTGCTGGGAGTGTGCTTATGCTAGTGAGCACGACTTGCTCGGAAAGTTTTGATATGTTATCAAAGTTGCTGATCTGAGTGGTCAAGGACTTCCGGCTCTCTGTGCTAGTTCGTCCCCTGGTTAGCCGATCCTCCTGGCGATGGTGAACTCCAAGGCAACAGCAAGAAAATGCAGCTTTAAATTCCTCTCGAAATTTTCCTGGCAAACAGAGAGAATGAAAGGAAAAGGAATTATGCATAAATGCTTCAACAAGTTGTGAATAGGGTACAACTGAGTTGCTCCCTTGAGCCAAACTAACAATGAGGTGTAATATTTTGCAAAGATGGGGAAAATAGAAAAAGGAAATTGAGTTTATTAGAAGCTTGGTAGACTCTTGAAACAATGAAGTATTTTCATAAAATAATGAGGCTGCCTTTCATGTATGGTGCTTGGAATTTATTTCATTCCTTTATAGTCAAACCTCATATATTTACACATATTGGTATATTTTATCTAAATAACTATACCGGAAGTGATCATCAGTAGAAGAATGCTCAGAGTTATTTAATAATTAAACACAGTGAAACTTATGTCATACAAAGCCAAAATTATACAAAAATTACTCCTGCATTTTACTCTAAATAACTGATATTGAAACAATTAAATCCACAAAATACTTAGAAAAATTCACTCAAATATCCAGAAAATTTCCAGTTTCATAATCTATGTAAGAAAGAACAAAGACTGAAGGGGAAAAACTACTGTAGAAGGTATTCCTTGTCTTTAAATTATGGAGCAGACACTGGAGAACTATGTGAATGAATCAGTCACTTTTATTAGTGTGAATGGCAGTATTGGGAATCATTTCTTCTCTCTTAGCCTCAGCTACCCACTGAGTTATCAGTGATTAAATGAGAAGATGAATGTTCACGGGCCCAGCACAATAGCAGTCACATAATGAGTTATCAGTGATTACCAGTTGCCTCCTCTAACTCACTTTTATCCTCCATACTAGGACTTTGACTTGGTTCTGTGACTTCTGCTTCAAACACTTCTCATTACAACTTCCTTATAGCCTTTACCTGCTTACTGCGAGGTTCAGAGCTTTAGTCATTGTGCTAGATTTTTTAAAAAAATAGAACAAAATTGTTTCTCAACAATCTAATTGGTTGCCTTTTTTTTTCAACCTATGCAACCAGAAGGCCAAAGATCAAGTTGGAAGATGCACATGCTTTATTAAACATGCCACAAAATGAATTTCTGTTCTTCCATATAAAATCATCATGCAGTTGAAGATAGAAATAACAAAGAAATCGCCAATGAGTTGGAGAGTAAGGCAATGTAAAAATGTAGCTAATTAAAACACAATTCTAAAAGTCAGGCAAAATATGAATAAACAATAGTGATTTAAATGATTTTTATAATTATATTGATTCCATAAACAGATACAAATTGTATAAGTTACACATATATCTATGTGTGTATCATTTAACTTATGTGTTATTTTGGAGTACTACTACTTTTGGTAATTAGTAGGAAATATTGAGATAAATCCAAGAGATGATACACACAAGAGAAACGTTAATATAGCAAAATATCTAAAAGTGAATAGATCCCAATTCTGTCTCAATTAGGGTACACATTTTGGCAAAGGAATAATATAGCAAGGCAAAACAGAACAAAGTATTTTATATTTTTGTAAATCAAGAGTTTAAAGTATGTCATGTAAGATTTTGTGTTATTGATTTCTCAGAATGTTTACTTTTCTATTATAACATTTCTTATAAGTTTTACATGGAAAAAAATCACTTAGTTCTTTTTCTCTGATGAGTCCAGTAACAAATATGTTGCCTCAAAAAAGAAGAAACTCAAAACAAATCAGGTCAGGGATAAAGAAAAATCTCACATAGCAACTAAACTCTTCATGTAATTGAAGAGTGTTCATTGATTTCTCATCCTTGGTTAGAACTGTGGCTTATGGAAGAAAAGTTGAAAACTCACCACTGAGAAAATTATAAATAATTGGATTCGCAGCACTATTGGCATATACAAGCCAGTGTGAAAAGGTAAACCAGGCATACACAGTCTCTCTGTCGTCGGTGTGGGTAAACATCCCAAATACTCTGCAGGAAAAGAAACAACAGAAAAGTATCTTTTAAATAATTAAATTCAAAGGTGAATGAGGCTATTGGTAGAGGTTGGTCTGACCCCTGTCCTCCTCGGTTGCCAGAATTGACCACAGATTGGTTTCTGACCCTATAATTGGTTTAGAATAACTTCAGTGCCTGAACAGAACCTCCAGAGCACAATCAATAATCAAAAGCCAAATCAGGTCAGAGAAGGGTCTCTCCCTTTCACAAATAGCAGTTGCAGTATTTCTTGTAAATAAGAATACAGAAGTTGAATATATATCTTCTTTATTTCATTTTCTTTCTACATACAATTGAATAATGTTGTATTAATATTCCATTATATGTATCATTTAAAAATCACTCCTAAATGATAGTCTTCAAGTACTTTTTCCTACTTTCATTTATGTATTGATCAAAGTATCATATGCCTTCAACTCCAGTCTTCCTGGACTATCTGAAACTTGCCTTCTGGGACTCCTTAATACCCAGAGAAGAAACAGTTCTCAATGGGCAGAATTTTGGTAATTTTTAAAAATTAATGAGTGTTAATTTTTCATGTATTATTTTAAACTTTAAAAAATGTTTTATTATGCTATCCTTAAAGACGATTTAAAAATTTCCTCCATACTTAGAAATATTCCATCTATTAAATTCTAATCGCTAACCTACAACAGATAACTTACAGCTACTCCATAAGATTCTAGGTCAAAAATCATATATATTTCCTGCTAAAGTCTCCATCTTTGTCTGTATCTGTGTGTGTGTGTGTGTGTGTGTGTGTGTGTGTGTGTGTGTTTTACAACAAGAAGGCATGATAACAATGCATTTCTGGTATAAGGTTATTCTCTAAAAAGTACTAGAGTTTTACAAAAATATTACATAGAGTGAAACAATATGGACAACAGAAATTTGTACTATGTTATGACCCTTTACCTCAAAATGTCTTTGAAATCTTGGACAAATCTGAACTGTTGTAAAGAAATTGGTTTTGACTAATCCGGCAAAAAGTTAAGTTTTAAGGAGAAGAAGCTAGGAATGGTTTTTGTGGGAGAAAGAAAAAACAAATTTCATATGCAAGGACAAACAAATATATAAGCATTTGAAAAAAAATGTATGTGGTAACAAGAAAAACAATCTTCAAGTTCTTGTTTTCAAAAGTTTTTATGTTGTGGAAAAGAGTAGAATGCCCAAAAACTTGAAATATTTTGAATTTAACATGGCCTTGCTCCTTTGACAGTTATTTGTTTTCCTTGGAAAGGAAGGGATTAGAGTCAGAAGAATAAGATTGACAAAAAAGTATTTGGAAATAAAAGGAAAGAGCAAGTTCTGAGATACAGGAAATCCAAATACGGAACCCAGAGAGAGGTAAATCCAATTTTCATTGAATTTAGACTGAAAGAAGATTAAAAAGAGAGAGAATAAAACCCATCTAGTAACATGTTTATAAAGTTCTTAAAAGCAGAAGACAGTATCTAGAGGTAGCCATAATAAATTTATATTAAATTTTTGTTAGCAAAAAAATGATGATAATAATAAGAGGCGAAACACAAAAAGATATGGAGGGCAAAATAATTTCTATTTTGTGAGCTGGCATATGTCTGAAGGACCCAGGCCACAAAAAAATCATATATCTTTAAGGCTGTGACTGTAGTAAGTAGTATTACTGAACAAACGTTTATTCTCCATTTCTTCTCCATTGAAAAAGCCATGAAACAATCAAAAACAGGGACCAAAGAGAATGAGAACCCATTGCAGCTGGTTATACCACCTTTCTTCTGACTCCAGCCAAAGCTGCTGCTCTTCAGAGTTCCCAGCTGTGAGGAATATGATATTGATTCTGAATCAGGGAAAAGTGAGAGGAGCATTTCTAGCTTAAGTTCGAAGACTGCTGTAAACAGAATTGGTATTGCCTTGGGACCAGTCTATGTGGAACAGTTTTGATAATTCCCAATAAAGTTAGCTGGCCATGAAGTTTAGTGTGTACCGCTGCCTCTGCATCTGCTGTTCATGTCATGGGTCAATATTTTTAACTTAATAGTTGCGCCTGCAGTGTAACAAATAACACACTTTCCCTCACTGATTTTTATTAATATTTGTCCTGAGCTTGATTCAGTGACTTCAGGAAATGAATTCTTCTGTTTAGACATTCGACATACATATCTGCCTTGATTGCTTTTTTTTTTAAAGTGCTCACCAATGCACTTTTAAGTATAATTAGAAAACTAACGTAAGATTCTTATCTCTTTTTATCCTTAAGACAGAATGCTCTCACAATTGCCTATGTTTTTGAAAACGAAGTTTTGAAAAACTCATTTGTTCTCATCAAGAAAGAACTGCAAGCTGTAAATTAGTTGTTACGCATTAGAACTTTGTCTGCATCTAAGGTTTAGCAACTAGCTTGAAGAGATTGGAGAAACATCTGTTTTATGTCTGCTGTGCAACTGAGAATACGCATGGACAAAAGCACATGTCTGAGCACTCTTAAAGGCTGTTCGCCTTACCTGCTGGTAACAACATAACTGAGTCATCTGGCCTGACAAGGTATCTAGGCAGAAAGTTTAGGTTTTTCTCTGGCTAGTAAAAAAAAAAATGTTAATTAAGAATCAAGAAATGGCAGGTTATTTCATTTTCAAATAACAGGTAAGTTTTACCTCTTTAGCACATTGAGGATGCTAATTGGTAGATAGCAAATTGCAAATACCAAAAGCACAACCATCAACATCCGGGCTGTTTTCCTTCTGGCTCGGATCTGCTTTATTTCAGCCGCCACAGCGCTTATCCGGGACTTTGTCGGCTGTCCTGGCCCTCGAGGCTGTGAAACAGGCTGCAGGGGCTTCCATTTTCTCTGAACTACAGACGATGTTCCAGGAATCTGAAAGGAGAGGAGACAGAACCTTATTGCAATTTGACTTAGGATAAGTTCCACTTTGGGGAAATAATTAGAAAACACAGTCAGGAAAGGCTTCCAGACGCCTGAGGTGTGGGAGGTTTGAGCGCCTGTTTCTCCGGAGCATTTGCTGAGCTTAGTATGTGCTTGGCATTAATTCAGTCGAATGCCAAATAGGAGTTTGGGTGGGAAAAAAAGTTAAAACATCAAAATTTCGTCGATGTTTAAAGAAAGCTGCAAGTGGAAAAGATATTTCCTTGTAAAAAGAACAAAGCCTGGGAAAGGAGAATGATAAAGGGATGACAGCCATATTATCTTGTTAGGAATTTTTGTTCAGCTCAGATACCAAAGTGTAAAGCAAAGGAAAAACCCAGCAAGTAACGCCAAGCAACCTGTATGGATTTTTCACGCATCAATACTGCCATCTGCTGCCAGACAGAGAGATAGGACTTAACTACCTATAACTTTTTAGGTTTTCTGCTTCTCAAGTTCGGACAAAGCAAACTTTTTGAATGAAAGGATATTTTTAAAAATCAAGTATTTTTTGTTGTTCACTATTTGTAGTTATGAAATTGTTTGAAATCAACTTTGTGGTCCAGCCCTTTAAAATGCACACAAAACCATTGAGGATTTTTGTGATCTTACATTAATATTTCAAATAGCTGGAATTTGTAACAATAATTACACAGTTTGTACTTTTCCATTTCTTTTTCTTTTCAGAGTTGTTTGATAATAGCAGGGAGTCCCTCCAAGTATAATATTTTCTTAATTGTAAGCTCATGAAGATTGATAGGGTTTAGTGAACAGAACAATAAAATTCAGCATGCATAATTTTTTAAAGAGGAAAACGTGCCAACAAGCACAAGAAAAGGCCACCTTAGTTCTAATAAGATTATTCAGCTTTGGTTTTTGTTTCTGTGCTGCAAATCAGTACTGACCAATGTGTCCCTGTGGCCTCTCAGAATAGATGTTCAATGGATTTTATTGCTTTTTACACCACAAGATCGAAGTCTGTTCGATAATCTTTGAGAACAGAATTTTACTTATATGTCCACACAGATAAATTAATATGACATTTCCTTTGACCATCTTCTCTCTTGAAGAGGCAAATGATGTTAACAAAAACCTGTCCTTAAATGGAAAATATCGGATAAATTATTTGTCTTCTCACTCTGTATGTCTCGTCGTGTAGACAACCCTTTTTACATAGTAGTGGTTCAACTCAATCTTTTAACCCATTAGTTGGGGAGAGATGGGAACTTTCTCTTCTGTGACTCTCATTTTAAATAGCAATTTTTAAAAATAACTGATGAGAATGAGCAACGGATGCTGGAAAGTTCCAGGAGACTTCTATCATGAAAAGCCTGTATGTGTCTGCTAAATGATCCTGAATTGTTTTCTAAATGATCTCTGAAAGATCAATTAAACTTTAGTGATTCTATCACTAACTGTTCCCCTGAAGAAGAGAATCAGCATTCTGCATCTGATGACTTCTGCAACCATTAGAAACAGTTCTCGATCACCTGAGGTTGGGAGTTCAAGATCAGCCTGACCAACATGGAGAAACCCCATCTCTAGTAAAAATACAAAATTAGCTGGGCATGGTGGTGCATGCCTGTAATCCCAGCTACTCGGGAGACTGAGGCAGGAGAATCACTTGAACCCAGGAGGCGGAGGTTGCAATAAGCTGATGAGATCACACAATTATACTCCAGCCTGAGTAACAACAGCAAAACTTCATCTCAAAAAAAAAAAAAGTTTTTCATAAAGAGAAACAGCTGTGGTCCCTGACATCAGGAAAAAAATGTAGTGATGCCCTTTTTAACAATCATCTAAATAAGGATAGAAGATGCTGAATCCTGCACTCATTTTGAGGACACATACATTTCTCCATTGATAAGCTGTCTAGAGACACTGAGAATCCAGAGAAACTCAGTATAAAATTCAGAGGAATAACCGACATTACTGAGCTCCAGGAACTATGCATTAGTAATCCTGGTATATTATTGTAAATCTCATAGATTTCAATCAAGCAGGCACTGAGAAGGATTAAGTAGAATACATGCACCCCACTTTTACTTCATGATTATAAATAAACTTTATAAATAATATTTAACACAAAAATACACCCTGAAAAATATATTATCACAGTTATGAATTGGAAATAGCATGTACATGATGGACCTTAAAACCTACTCTGACTTAAAAAGTGTTTGTGACCAGGATAAAGTTATGAGGAAGAGGCACACATGCTACAAACATTAAAAATATCATGAATAAACAATGAATTTGCCAACTTACATGAAATGGACAAAGCCCTTGAAAGACAAAGGTGACCAAAACTGACACTGTACTTACAAACCTTGCTACAAAAAAATCTCCAGGCCAGATAGGTCCATTAATGAATTCAATCAAACAGTAAAGGATAAGTAATGCCAATCTTGTTCAGACTTTTAATGAAATGTACAGAAAATATAATATTTTTCAACAGATTTCATGAGGGCACATTTATCTTAACAATCAAAGATATGATAACAAAAGACAGCTAACAACTAAATATCCTTCATGAATAGAGATAGAAAGCACTTTAAAAATATGTTATCAAATCAAAGCCTGCAATAAATAAATAGGATAATACCTTTTGCTCAATCAGATTTATTCTAGCAATGCAGTGTTGGCTTACCACTCAAAAAATCAAGTCTTCTGTCACCACTTGTACTCAACATTGTGCTGGACTTTGAGCCAATACAAGAAGAAAAGATAAATAAATAAATAAATAAATAAATAAATAAATAAATAAA